TACATATATCTAATCTATAAAGGCATAGAGAACACATTTCTGTTCTAAAAGGGAGAAATAAGAGCATAGAAAGAAGAGGACCAAAACAAGACCAAAATTGAGCTGGGCAAACAAACCCTGCAGCTCCATGTGCAACCTCTGGGGCACATGGCACCATGTTCTCTCCAAAGGGCTTTGTAGCTGTGCCTCTAAGACCTGGCTGGCTGCAGTCCACCAGCCTCTCTCTTGGCGTGTCTCTACTTGATTTTGGCAGATTTCCTCTGCAGGCATTCCAGTCACTGTCATGTCTTGCAGGTCTCCCCTGAAGTTTTGGCTTCCTCCCCACATCTTCATGCACTGACTGCCCTTTCAGGGAATTTCTACAGGGATTCTGACCTGCTACACTTTGCTTAGCCTTCAAAGCCACCTTTGAAATCTACATGGAAGCCTCCATGACTCCCTGACTCCAGCATTCTGCATTCCCGAAAAGCCAGCACTACCTGGTTGATGCCAAGGTCTGCCACAATCATGGGCAGTATCCAAGACTCCAGAGACCACAGCTGCAGCAGCCTCTGAGAGCCGGGGTGGTCATGCATGGTGAAACAACCTGTGAAAGCACGGTGCCCCATGGTCTTTTCTCAAAAATTTATCTTTACACCCTTGAGACTGAGATGGGTGTGGACTTGCCAATTCCAAACATGCCCTCAAACCATCTTTCCTATTTTCTCTCTATAAAGTACTTAGCATCTTTTAATGGCTGCAATCTTTTCAACAACCTCCATTGGCTCCATTTTATATGCATTTTTCTGGCCCTTGCAAGTGTTTCAAATCTCTCCCCTCTGATTTCTGCTCCAGATTATCACAGTTAACTTGGCTAAAAGTTTCAATGTCCATGCGACTGCCTTAATGTTGTGCTGCCTTAAAATTTCCTTCACCAGGTTATTTAGTGCATCACCTTTAAATTCAATTTCCTAAAAAGTCTCAGGACCTGGGCAAAACATAGAAAATTTATTTGCCAGAATGTAACACAAACATCCACTAGTCCAATTTCCATGAGAGTTCTTCCTTCCCTCTGATGCTGCCTGAGCCCAGTCTTTACTGTCCACAGGCATTCTGGTCTTCTGAGTTCCCACAAAAATCACTCACTAAGCTCTGATTACAACATTCTAAGTCTCCTCTATCCTGCATTTCCAAATTTTCCAAACTTCTCCCACAAATCAGTTTCTAATGCTTCTGAACCACATGATCAGGTTAACCACAGCAATAATCCCACTTGTGGATCAATTACTTTATTAGTTTTTTTTTTTTTTGCCAAAATAAACTTTTCTCCTTATTGGTTGATTATAAGTCAGTGGCCAGGAAAGGACAGGTGTGTGGGGTGAGGTCAGGGAGCTCAGCCAAGGCAGAGAAAGGGGGAGGTTGGGGGCAGGCCACTCCTTTGACAGAAAACTCCACAAGCCAGCTCTCCCACCTCTCTGCATGAGGCTCAGACAAAATCCCAGGAACTCAAGGGAAACTGAGGCAGGTCTCGTCCTCTAACATGCCCATGAGTGGGATCTGGGGAAGCAGTGTCCACTCACAACTCACTGCTGCTTAAGGAAGAGAGACGGGTGGGGGGTTGGGGCTGCTTCAGGCTTTGCCTACCTGACCAGGGCTATTCCTTGTGTGTGTGTGGGGGGGCACTCAGTGACTGAGGAGCAGGGGCTGTGAGAGAAGGCCTCAAGGTCTCCACCAAGAATTCCTTGACCCTGGAGAAGGGTCTTTGGGTTGAGAAGTCAGGGGTCCTGGATGTGGGCAATAACAGGGGTCCTGAACTCCTCCACACTCCACAAGCCAAAATAATTACTCAGAGACCAATCAGCTCTGTCATCAGGGCAAGAATTTTTACTTCCATGTGCAGAAGCAATGAAAACCAAAGCAGGCATGTGGAACAGGCCATCTGGTCCGCCTTCATCCCTGATGCACAGGTGCAAGATTACTGCCCATAGGTAGGAGCTGACCGCAGCAGAACAGCAATTAAGAAGGTCCTTAACAGGCACTCACTGGTTGGCTACTTCACTGTTGGGTTATTTAAGAACCATACCTTTATCACCCACCTGCCTTGCTCCCATGGCCGGGGCCCAGGGTGGAGCCCCTGAGCCTGCAGTCAGTCTCTGGCGGCCAGACCCTCCCTCCCACCCGTCTGCCCATACTCCTGCCAGCTACTTGGACTTCCCCTCCAGTGCCATACTCACATGCCAACCATGTCCCAGTTGAAGCTAAATACTGAATTCCACCAGCTCAATACTGAATTTTTCCCCACGTGGAGAAGGCCGGGTCCTGGGTCAGGACACTGAGCCAGAGGTGCCAGGTCAAGGCTCCCGCATCCGGGGAGGGTGGCTGGAGTAGAGTCCCTTTTTGGGGACCAATAATCTCAAGAGAGCATCTGCAGGTGAGGAGGAGAAGCCAGGGAGCCCTGAGGAGGATATCGAAGAAGGCATAGCCCAGCCTGGCCTTCCAGAACGTTCCACCCAGTGTACAGCCAGGAACACCAGGAGAGAAGCCTGAGAAGTGACCCCGCGGGAAGGCTGAGGAGGATCCCGGAACCAACACGTTCCAGGCCACGCCCGGAGAGGTTAGGGGGCTGCGACTTCCGGTAGGAAGCTCCCCGAGGGGCACAGCTGCCTGCGCCAAGGTTCCCAAGGCAGCCCAGGCTTCTGAGGCAAGGTTCCTGAAGAGGTGGCCGACTCCCGGGCGGAAGGTTCCTGACCCGGTGTGGTTTCCAGCCGGAAGAGCCGAGCAGGGGCCCGCTTAGGGCAGGAAGGTTCCAGAAGTTGGGCGGCGTGCACAGTAAAGTTCCTGGGCGGGGCGGAGGCTTCCTCCTGGAAGGTTCCAGAGGTGGGCCCGGCGTCTGCTGCCGCTTCCAGGGGGTAGACGGCTTCGGCAGGGACAGTTAGCCCCGTGGAATGTTCCAGAAGGGCAGCGCGCCTTCTGACTGGAGGGTGCCAGGCGCGGAGCGACAGGCCCGCGGCCCTCACGAGGGCTGAGCCGGCTGGGCCTGCAGCCCCGGACCGCGGTGCTCCCGACCCTCGTCCCGACCCTGCCCCCTCGGACCCTCCTCCGGCTCTCGGGGCGGGAAACTCTTCCCCACACGCTGCCCTCTGGGCACCCTCCTCCCCGGGCCCTTCGCCCACCCCCGCGCCAGGGAGCCCTTCCCCCTCATGACATCCCTCCTCTCTGGGGCCCCTCTTCCCAGCAGACTCCCCCACGGGACTCCTCGGTCCTCGCCCTCTGCGCCTCCACACCCTCTTCCCGGACCCTTCCTCTGCAGACGTGCCCCCTCATGACACCTCACCTGGACCCTCCTGCCTCGTAGCACCCCTTGACCCATGGACCCTTCTCCCCCACTCCCCTCATCAGACCCCCTACCCCAGTCCCTGGCCTTCAAGAACCCCTGTCGTGGTCCCCAGAATTCTGCTGCCAACACTGTCCGCTCCCAAGGTCGCGTCCTGTCTCCTGTAGGACCTCCCCTCCTGTCCTCTCCCGGACCCCATCCAGGCTCTTCTGGTTCCTTCCGACCCTCCTCTCAGAAACCCCGACATACCCAGGGCCCTGGACCCACACAGGGGTCCACACTCTAGTCCTGTAGACCTGTGGTCCCCTAGACCCCTTTGAGCAGATGCTCTCAGTGTCCCCATGTGTCACCTCAGAGACACTTTAGTCCCGAGACCCTCCTTCAGGATTGAGCCCACTTTCTCATGCTTCTCCCTCTCACCCCTGCTCTCTTAGTCTCACCCCTTTGTCCTTTAGTCCCTTCCCTTAGTGGCCAAAGGCCCCTCCTCCTGGAGCCCTACCCACAGGACCTTCTGCTCCTGACCTCGGCCTCCTCTCCTGTGGCCCGAATCATCCTGCATCTCCAAAAGCCTGGACTTCTCAGTGGCCCCTGATCTTCCCCCTTCCCCTTCCTGGCTCACTATTTGGGTCCACTGATGACTGTTCAAGGGGAAACTGGCCCAGGTTCCCCACCTGCCCTCGTCCACAAGCATGCCTCTGAGCCTGCTCTCCCCTCTGGGCCCTTGAGGCTGCTGAGGCCAGCTCTGAGTCTCTCCTGCCTTCACCAGCAGCCTGGGCACAGCAGCATGCCTTCCGCTGGGCATGATCTGGGGCCACCTATTATTTGAAGTGTCCCCTTCAATTCCAAGCAGGAGGAAGTCCTAGTTCTCCTTTGGTGAGCAACTTCTGGCTTCCTGTAGCTGAAGTCAGAAAGTGGACTCAGGGTTCCACAGTCGCTTTCTGCTGCCACCATCCTGCCTTTTGACCTCTGTAATCCTTTGGGCCTGGAAGCTGGCCCCAGCCACTCCTCTCCATTCTGAAGCCTCCTCCGCTTTGGGCTCTGGCTGTCTTTGGGGGTCCTGGTAAAGGAGTCAGATCTCATTATTGCTGTTTGAGACGCCGCCTTTCCTTTTCTCCCGCGGCCCCTCACGTTTTCCGGTAGTTTTCGGTGGTTTGTGTGTGATGTGTCTGAGATTGGGTTTCCTTGGACTTCCTCGGCTGTGGATCCGCTGGCCCTTTTTAAGTTTGTGGGGTGATGCTTTTCACTGCTATTGGGACATTTCGGTACCAGTGGTCCTTCAAACGCTTGCTCCCTCCATGTGTGTCTTCTCCTTGTGCAGATCCAGTTGCGGGTGGGCCGCACAGCTGACTCACATGGATGCAGCTCCTCTTTCAGCTGCTATGCACTTTGGCCTTTTTCTCTTTCTGGGTAGCGTGTGGACATTTTCCGTAGGCCTGATCACGTTTGTTGTTTCCTCTTGCCGAGTCCAGTTGGCTGTTAATGGCGTCCAGGTGAATTTTTAAATTTCAAATATTTTGCTTTTCTTGGTTTAGGAATATCCATTTGATTCTTCTGATAGGTTCCAGTTCTGTGGGGAGGAGGGCCTGTGAGGAAGGCGGGAGACTCCTGTGGTGGTTGATGCTGGGGGCGTGAAGTGGAGCAGGGAGCCGGCTTCTCGCTGACTGGCTGTGGGTCTCTTCACTTTCAGGTCCAAGCTTCTGCCCTATATGATGCTCCCCTTGTTCCTGCTCCTCTTTGTGGGGCTCCCACTTGTGGAATCCAATTTTACCAACGTGACCAAAGCCGTTCCAGCTGCTTGTAAGTATCATCTTTTCTGAGACATGGAGGGCATATGGATTCTCCTAGAGTTGCCCGGGGTCCCAGGAGGACGTGGCAGGAATTTGGCCATCTGAGCCAGCTGTGGTGTGCATTGTCGGTGTTGTTGGGAAGAATTGAGGGTCAATTGGGCTGTGTTTGTGTGCAGGGGAGAGAAAGGAGGAAGGATGGCTTCCCTCAAAGAGCAGCTGACCAGGAGACCTGAGGGGGAGCTTGGAGGTGACCCTTGCCCATTAGGGACAGCAAGAGAGGACAGCAGTGTCCAAGGAAATCCAGGAACATGCTGGCTTCTTAGGGGAGCGTCCAGACTTCCTTGGAGAGGTGGGCCCCTCTGCAGAGCTCATGGTCCCCGCATGTCTTCCTGAGAAGAGGGAAAGCTCCTAGGTTGGCCTGGCTTCCCTCCTGGGAGCAGGTCTTGGCCAGACTGGGACTGCACTGAGACCAAGCTGTGCAGGCTCAGGCAAGTCTTTGGGAGAGAGGGCAGGGCCAGCTACTGCATGGGGAAGACGAGATGGTAATGGGTGGAAGGATACGTTGGGGCAGAAGCCCAATGCCTGCTTTCCCTCCCTCAGGGACCTTCAACGTGCAGTGCCATGAATGTGTGGCTGAAAACACGTTTGATTGCCCGAGGCTCAGGACGTGCTTATACGACCATAGACGCTGTATGACCGTAGCTGCACGTAAGTGTCCCTGTGCTCTTTTCACACCTGTGGTCCATCGTCTAGCTTGAGCGGTTTTGGGAGTGGAGTCTGTATGGTTTTCTTTCTGCACCCTGACCTACTTCCTTCTCCTGGTATCTCCCCGCCCTGAGGACTTATTCCCAGGTCCTGCCATGCCTCACGTAGGGCACTGTGCACCAGCTTGTGCAGTCAGCTGAGGGGAGGGGGAGCAGAGTCCACACCTGCCGTGTCTTCAACGGTAGGAATGTTGCTGGACCTACAGGTCTCTCGCTTGGGTCTCCCTGCTCATGTATGTAGATACTTCAGTGTAGCCTGGTTGATCGTCATTTGAATTCTGGTCATGTGCCGGGTGTGGGGCGGGGCGGGGGTGGTTGTCCAGCTGTCCACGTTCGAGCAGCAGATGTGCTTCGACCCCTCAGGGCCATGCCGGTAACACTGTCACACACAGATGGTGTCAGGGCAAAGCTGGCCCCCCAAAGTGTTCTTGCTTCTTCCTTGCAGGCCTCTAGTGCTGTGAGGCAGGTGTGCGTCTCCCCAGGGCGTTACTGTGAAGACCCATGTGGCCAGAGGCTCAGGGACCCAGAGGCAGGCAGTTTGTGGGATTGTGACAGACAGCTGGAGGTCTTGTCTGGGCCCTGTTCAGGACCCTTCCTCTGGTTGCTGTCTTCCCCGACCTGAGTTTGTTTCTGCAGCTTCAGGTGCCTTTCTGTTTCCCGAGCTGGGTGTAAAGACCTCCAGACTGCCCCTTCTTCACTGGACCAAGTGCCCTCACGCTGTGGTGATGTGCTGAGTTGGGACAGCAGGAGGCTGAGAATCTGGCTTTGTCACCGTGGTGGGCCACTGGTGGGGACCTTGATGGGTTATGTGTTGTCATTTCTCAACTATTGTTGCAAGTGAGACTGGCTGATGCTTTCTGAGGATCTGCATCCCGGTGTGGCTGCATTAGAGCTGGCAAAGGGAGAAACCTGAATGACATTTGTAAGGGTGGAGTGAAGCAGGGACCAGTAGTCTGCGCAGGCATGGTGGCCTTCTACAGCGCTTGACCTGGTTTGAGTCAACTTCCTGTCATTGTAGCCTATACCTCACATAATCATAAGGACGCAGGTTTGTTTGGGTTCACAGGTTTATAGGTTTCAGTCCATGACTGGTTGAGCCTGGGGCTGAGCCTCATGGAGCAGGTGGAGGACCAAAACTGCTCACATCATTGCCGGGAAGTTCATTGTGTGTATGCGCACACAAACATACACACACACACACACAACATAAAACTTACCATCCCCCCCCCCCACCACCACCACAACAATAAAACAAAAAACAAAAACCCAGGAGAAGGAGAGGCCTGGGGCCCCATCACCCCTTAAAGGGCATGCCCTCTGTGACCTGAAGCACTCCCAGTAGGCCCGACTGCTGAAAGATTCCCCAGCTTTTCCATTGCACCATGGTGGGGAACAAGCCCTTAACACATGGACCTTTGGGAGCCACCTACATTCTAAACTAGAGCAACAGTGGACTGCATCCTCCTTTGGATCCATCTACCTTTCCCATCCACCTTCCCCTGTGCTGGGTCTTTTTTTTTTTTTTTTTTGATGAGTTTTATTTTGACTCATGCATTATTAACACAAGTAGACATAGCAATGCATTGTTGCTTTTTAAAACTATCTTTATTTATTTTTAAGTGGAGCTGAGGATTAAACCCAGTACCTCACATATGTGAGGCGAGCACTCTACCACTGAGTCACAACCCCAGTTCCTGTGCTGGGTCTTTTAACCAGTAGCTTCATGGCTCTTGCAAGTACACCAGTGAAGCAGTTTACACATTTCTGCAGGAGACCTCTTGGTATGGGCCTGATGGGGAGGACAGAGGTGTATGGCTTTTGTCATTTTCCTGAGAAGTCTGACTTTCCCTTCTGCCTCAGTGGCAGGTCGCTTGGCTCCGGATGGTTCCTCTGATCTTCAGTTCTTTCTCACTTCCTGCTGTCATCTTGGGAACTGTGACAGCTCTGTTTGACATCTGTCCCCATGCTTGTTTAGGGGTTACCCTTACCTAAGTGAACCCGATGGACACTAGGACACAGAATCCTGTGTGAGAGGTTGGTGAGATCTGGGAGTGCATTCTCCCTTCAGGATATTTGTTGATTTCAGGGGCTTTGTAAGACCAAAAGCAAAAATCACTATATGGGAAAATTTGATTGTCAGAGACTGAGCCTCCACCCACACCATACTTTGGAAGGACACATAGGTGAATGGAACAGAAGAGAGAACCCAGAAACAGCCCCATACAAATATGCTCAACGGGGCTGGAGATGTGGCTCAAGTGGTAGTGCGCTCGCCTGGCATGCGTGCGGCCCGGGTTCGATCCTCAGCACCACATACAAAGATGTTGTGTCCACCAAGAAGTAAAAAATAAATATTAAAAAATTCTCTCTTCTCTCTGTCTCTCTGTCTGTCTCTCACTCTCTCTTAAAAAAAAACAAAAACAAATATTCTCAACAGATTTTTGACAAAGGTGCAGAATTCATTGGTAGGGGAATAGTGGCCTTATCACCTGTAGGTTAAAGGCACCTTGACCTAAAATCTTACACTAAACGTAACCCCAAATGAACATGGGCTTCAGTGTAAAAGGCTAAACTCTAAAACGTTCAGAGAGAAAATCTTCAGTATCTAGGGTGAGGCAGAGTTTGTAAACTTGATACCAAAGTGTGATCTTTGAAAAGCCACCACCGGGACATTGGCCCTAAACCAATTAGTGTTTTATCATATTATTCATTTTTAAACAGTGCATTATAGTTACACATAGTAGTGCAATTTATTTTCACATATTTGTACATGCATAAAATGTAGGGATTTCATCAGTTGCATTCCCCAGAACACTCCTTTACTCTTCTCACTCTCTGCTGATCCATTTTTTCCTACTCTCCTGCTCAACCTTCGATTTTTATTAGATCCTTTCTCATATTTTTTTTCTTTTTTCTATCTATCTTCCACAAATGAGAGAAAACAGATAGGGCTTATTTTGCATAATGCTCTCAAGTTCCATCCATTTTCCTGCAAAATTTTTCTTTATGGCTGAATACATCTCCCTTGTGTGTATATATATACCACATTCATCATTCATTCATTGGTGGACACCTAGGCTGGTTCCATAGTTTGGCTGTTGTGTGAATTGTGCTGCTATAAACACAGGCTTGCATGTATCACTATAGTATGCTGACTTTAATGCTTCAGAACAAATATCAAGGAGCGATATAGCTGCGTTGTGTGGTGCTTTCATTCCTAGACTTTTTAAAGACCTCTGTACTGATTTCCATAGTAGTTGTACTTTTCACCACACTATCACTTATTGTTGTTTGTATTCTTGATGACTGCCCTTCTGACTGGGGTGAGAGGAAGTCTCAGTGTAGTTTTGATTTGCATGTCCCTATTTGCTGGAGATGTTGAGCATTTTTTCATGTGTTTATTGGCCTTTTGTATTTCTTCTTTGGAGAAGTGTCTGTTTAATTCATTTTCCCACTCATTGATTGGGCTGTTTTTCTCTTGTGAGGTTTTTTGAGTTCTTTATATATTCTAGATATTAACTCTCTGTCAGAAGAGGAGTCAGCCAAGGTTTCTCCTATTCTGTAGATTCTCTCTTCATGCTCTAGTTGCCTTTGCTGTGCAAAAGCTTTTGAATTTGATGCCATCCCATTTATTAATCCTGGGTATTCCTTCTAGCTTTAGGAGTCCTGTTGAGGAAGTCCAAGCCTGCATCCACCTATACAGGTGTGTTGATCTTATGTTCTCTTCTAGGAATTGCATGGTTTGGGGTCTGATTCCTAGGTCTGTGATCCATTTTGAGTTGACTTCTGTGCAGGGTGAGCAATAGGGATCCATTCTCATTCTTCTACATATGTATGACCAGTTTTATCAGCACCATTTGAGAAAAGTCTCCAATCTGTTTTAGGCACCTTTGTGAAGGGTCACATGATGGTACCTGTGTGGGTTTGTCTGTGTCTTCTATTCTGTTGTTCTGTGTGTCTGTTTTATGCCAGTACCATGCTGTTTTTTTTTTTTTTACTATAGCTCTTTAGTATAATTTGAAGTCAGATATTTGATGCCTCTAGCCTGGCTCTTATTGCTCAGAATTGCTTTGGCTACTCTGAGTCTTTTATTCTTCTAAAGGAATTTTATGACTTTTCACCCCTAGTTCTGTGAAGAAAGTCATTATATTTTGAAGGGAATTGCACTGAATCTGTAGAATGCTTTCAGTAATATGGCCACTTTAACAATATTACTTCTGCCTATTCATGAACACTCAAGTCTTTCCATCTTCTAAAGTTTTACTCAGTTTCTTTCTTCAGTGTTCCATATTTTTTTTTGAGAGAGAGAGAGAGAGAGAGAGAGAGAGAGAGAGAGAGAATTTTTGAATATTTATTTTTTAGTTTTCAGTGGACACAACATCTTTATTTTATTTTTATGTGGTTCTGAGGATCGAACCCAGCGCCCTGCGCATGCCAGGCGAGCACCCTACCACTTAAGCTACATCCCCAGCCCAGTGTTCCATATTTTTATTGTAGAGGTCTTTCACCTCTTTAGTTAGGTTATTCCTAGGTATTTTATTTTTTGTGACTACTGCTGATGGAATTGTTTTCTTGGTCTGTCTCAGTAGGTTCATTATTGGATTATAGAAAAGCCATTAATTTTTAACTTATGCTCTCTGTTTTAAAGTAAATATTTTTATTAATTTTTGTTCAGATTATTTTTAGTTATATAAAACATTGGGATACATAATCAAAACACATGGAATATAATTTGCTCTAATTCAGTCCTCAGCACTTCCTTCCTCTACCTCCCTCCTCCCTCCTCCTCCCTCCTGCTCCCCTGATTTTTGTATGCTGATATTGTATTGTGCTCCTTTGCTGAATTGATCAGCTCTAAATGTCTTCTGGTGGAGATTTTTGGGTCTTCCAAATATAGGATCATGTCATCAGCTAACAGAGGTAATTTGACTTCTTCTTTTCCTA